ATACTTCTAATGCAACTTGTCTTGTTTTTAAATCTGAAGAACAGTTGCTTGAGATAATATGTATTTTTAAGTTCAATATTCTTTTCTTAGAGGATCAGGTTAGATCTACTCTCTCTCAATATAACTTGCAAAAATGTGGTAACAGCAGTTGCTGCAGATGGGAGGCACATTTTGACTAAGTTTTCAGCTGACAGTGAAGGAAGGGTCAGCAGAGGAGTTAGATCTTCATAGCCTGCCACTAGCATCTGTCTTCCTGTTCTACTTTTTCCTCTGACATGTCCTAATACTTTGGCTCCTGCTCCCCCTTTTTTTTTCCCCCTCCTCTTCCCTGTTTTCCACTCTTCATTCAGTCACTTCTTTTTCCCACCTGGTTCAGGCAGAAGGCATGATGGCTCTCAGGGGATCATGCATGTACATCTCTTGCTACAATGCAGATGCAGCATTTTGGGAGCTAAGTTGATGCAAATTATATGTAACTACTCAAAGGTTTTAATACTGGTGTAATTCAAGTGGTGGGTGTAGCCTGAGAAAAGACTATGTCTAATCCAAACACCTCCAGGTACTTGAATTAAAGTTCCACTTTAAAAACAAGATGGCAATTCAGCACTACAACTCAATGCTGGCAAACAAAAACAAAAAAAAAAGAAGTATATTTCTTACTGAGATGAATGATTTTTACTGAGACAGAAAGAGAGAAAAGTCTATGGATGATTTTTTTTTCTACTTTTTGTATCTACCCAATAGAGAAAGCTTAGCAAGACTAAAAGAAAGACAAGACTAATAGTGGAAAACCTTTAGCAAGCCTTATGACTTGACTTATCCTAAATGCAGAATCCCCAGCTGAGGCAGCCTCACTATTGGGATCCTTCAGTTGCTCACGGTAACCCTTGAGCTAGGATAACAAACTTTGCAAAACAAATTAGACTGACATTGTCCCATATACAATGAATGCGATTCAGAGCTGATTCACTGTAGATCAGAAAATGTCCTGAGCAGAGTGCTTCTTGGTATGTAAACAGAATAGCTCCTTCATAATTAGTGTCCTCTCTTCTAAGCAGCAGAGTGTGGGAGCAGACATGGTTACAAAAGACCTTTAAAATCTCTCATTCTGCAAGTTATGATTCTCTGAAAAACTGGTAGGCAGAGTTGCAGGGACTAACTGCATGGTCTGTTTCACTCTTGATTGCAGCATTTGGCCAATTGGTATGTTGTGTTTCCAGACTCTCTTAACAGTCAAAGGGAGCTTCTTATAAAATACATAAATACCTGACGTTTTCTTCCCAAGGCAAACTGTGGTTCCTGCCACTGCTTTGATTGAGCATTACTTCTTCTGGCTCATCTTGTTCTTCTAGTGCAAAGGATGAGAGGTTTTACTGCTTGGAGAGCTTGGGTGTACCTTTCTCACCAACAATTCTGGTCCTTCAAAAGCAGAAGAGTCCATCTGATGTTCTGTGTCCTAAGCAGGTCATTCGCCTGCTGTTGCCACCGAGATGAAATCCAAGCTTCTGAGCTTTTCCTTTGGACTTCTTTCTCCTTCCATCACTAACCCAAAGAGCTGGCTGTGTGAAAGTGGGACACATTTGTGCTGGGAGGAAGGAGTATTTCCTTGTTAGTTGTGGAACCTGCCTAAAGTTCTCAACTGTGCCTTGTCTGTCCACTCTCCATCATGCCTGCTCACTCCAGTGAAAGCCTTTTACTTACTCTCGCTGCTTTCCATGCAGGTACTTACCAGGACATCTGTGGGTGCTGCTCTGGTGCTTTGTTTCTAAGCAAAGCACTTATAACTGACTCTAATGCAAACTCACCTGCATGTGCATCCCAGAACTACTGCGTGATTTTGATAAGATTAAAATTCCTGGATTCTCCTGTCTTCATTAGCTGTCAAAATTTTGCTTTTTAAGATGGGAGATGCCATTCTTTCTTCCTCTGAAATGGTATGAGGCTTCACTGCATGGGCTCCTGGAACTGTAAAGGTGTAAAATTATCTTGGCAAACCGAAAGATTTGGGGTTTTTTTGCATTTAAATGCCAGTGCCCAAACAGTGCTTTGTCATTCCTGTAACACCTTCATTATCAGGTTTACAGCAAACTGGATTAACTCTTTGTATTTACATTGACAGTAAAAATCTGCTAAAGCTAAAACACTGAGACTATTTTTCACAGAACTAGACTATGCAGTAAGAATAAAAAAGTATGCTTGTCTTGTTGCTTACATATTTCCTTTTTTTTGCAGCCATTTGATGGTTTTTCACAACAGAACTAGAAAAGCTGTGTAAATATCTTATTTAAAGTTAGAAATATATATGGTTGCTTACTTGGCCTGGGAAAAACACAAACCTTTAAAAAAAGTAAGCAGATCACCCTCTCAGTGTTTGTGAGGTACCTCAACTATGTGTAGAGCAAATTAATATAAAGAAACACACCCATTTTCATTATTTGTCTTTTTTTGTTGTTTTTTTTCAACAGAAAAGTAGCTAAATGAAATGCCAATGTTGCAAGTACCTGTAAACATTTCTTCAGTAAAATGATCTTAGCTTCCATCACAGAGCATAGGGCAGCAGAAGCAGGGGGGAGACAGAAAACTAAAAATAAATGTGTCTGTCTATGACAAAAGCAAATTAAACTTTTTGTCTGGCTTGAGAAAACCTTCAGAACAAGTACTTTCAGAGTTGACAGATGAATGTTAAATGGATAAGCAATTAATCACACTCATCACTTTCTGTATATTAAGGCAGATACAGTACCACAGAGTTGTTGGGGGTTTTGGTTTTAAATAGCTTTGTTTATTTTAGTCACTAGCAGGCATAGGCATTCAGGCTCTGCACAGACATCCTTGGGATTTAGCTGTGCTTTTGCAACTGTAAAGAAATTTCCAGTGTGGAAATGTGTATTGTCTTGCACAAGGGACACACCAAAAGCTCATTAGTTAATGACTGTAAATAGTCTACACTGCCTTGCTCTACATATGCTAAAGTGGGACAGGATTGATTAAGCAAGTAAACTTATTTTTAAATTACAAAGTAACTTGATTATGGCTGTTACACAACTTAATCCGAAATGAATCTGAGCAACCCCCTGCCAGGCTGAGGTATGCACTCAGAAGTATAGATGTGCTCTTCACTACAGACTCTAACATCTGACCAGGTTTAACTGTTTTAATCAATGTCCCAGAATCTGTTTCACACATGCATTTTTCCTTCATTTAAATAATGCTGTTAATTTTTGGTTTACATAGGTTTGATATTCATAATTGATATTAAAAGTGGACTCTGGTAGTACAGTCATGCTAACACACTTCCGCTTGCATACATCAGTTAAAAACCCCATTAGATGTACAGCTAGATTGGCCCTTTTTTAACATCAACAACCTAGTGGGATGTTGATTTCTGTGTGCTCTCAATTTGTCAGTGTTTTATATCCCACTGAATTGCTTCTTGCTGTGCTGCTACAGACATTGTTCTGAGGCCCAGAATATCAGTGCTTCATTGTCTTCAACCAGAAGCCTTGTTTCTCTATCAGCTGCTAAAGTTATTTGGCAAATAGCATTCCTGTTGTCCCTGCTTCTTCCAGTGCTGATGGAAGGAGAGCCTTTAATAAGAACAGAGTTTGTGTAAGATGGTAACCTAGTTACTGAAACAAGGAATTATTAAAGGTTATCTTTTAACCATAAAATACCAGGCTGGAAGTGACCTCAAGGATCACCTGGTCCAACATTCTTGGCAAAAGCAGTCTAGGCAAGATGGCCCAGCACACTGTCCCGTTGAGTCTTAAAAGTGTCCAGTGTTGGGGAATTCATCACTTCCCAGAGGAGATTACAACAGACAATCACATTTCTCCTTCTGTAGACTTATTACTGTTAAATTTGTAGTGATGGAAAAAAATCTTGTAATACCCTTTCATGCTTGGAACAGGAAGCTGTAGTGTCCTGTGTTCTCAACTTTTGCACTACCCTAACACTGTTCTGCATGTCCTGTCTATCAAGAATCTGACCGTAACTGGATGTTAGGAACTTGCAGGTTCTACTTGGAATGCCTCATGCAATACTGATTCTGCAGACAGCAGTGACAGAGCAAACATTTCCCTTACACCAGTGGCACTTCAAACTTCTGGATCAATGGGAATATGAATAGCACCTCTTTCCCAGGCTGGTGAAGGAAAGATTACAAGGGAACCACCATAATATACCAGTCCCTAAGCTTACTGCCCAGTGTCTTCTGTTTGCATGTTATAAAACATAAGAGTCAGCACTGGAAACTCGTCCCAGCAATGCAGCCAGTGCCACAGATGAAACTACTGCCTGCTACATTATCTACTTCCTAGCACATTAGAGTGCTGCTACTTCTACTTCTAAAGGAGCTTTACTTTCCTAATTTAAATTCTGGCTGATGGTGTAGTCTGACTTCCACACTCTTAAAAAAAAAAAAGTCAACCAAACAAAATCCCCCCCAAAACAACCCAACTGCTATTAGTAGTTGGCTACTTCCTACTATGGGAATAGCTCCAACTATCAGCTTAAGGAAGAAATCAGTTTTTCAGACACTGCTAAAATCAGTCTGTTTGGAAGTGAATGCCCTTTCTGCCACGATATGTAACGTGCATGGTGACTTACACCGGACTGTGAAATCAGTGCATGTATACTTCAGTCAAAGAAAGTAGTTCTTCTTTATTGCATTAGTATTTCATGTTTTTTTAGACAACAGAAAATTCTGTATTTAAAAAAATGTTTGTTAACAGGCCATGAAAGAGCTTTAGCAAAAGAGCTATAAATCATGGTAAGACATTTTTGGCTCAGATCTCATTTGAGACATTTCCACAAGACCTCATTTCTGTGACTAGATATGACACTTGGTAGGTTATTTTATAACAAGGCATATCAGACATACCCTCACACTGGACCAGAATATTAGCAATTCACCTTAAGTGCTTAGGAAAGAATAACAGAACTGTATTGTCCCAGATGGTGCTCTTAGACCCAATTCTTTCTCATGCTTGGTGGGTGCCATTTTAACTTGTGTGCTTTAGAAGCACTTTAATCTAAATAAACTAAATCAAATAACAAAAATTAACAAACCCACAACCAACAACAAACCAAGAATACTGTCAAGACTGAAGAGCTCTAGAGCTAACTGCTGAACTCATTTGGCAGAAATGGCTGAAATCACACCAGACACTCATTAGGATACACTTCTTGTCAGCAGAACTGCTGATTAGAAAGCAAGAAAGTCCATTGTGAGAGGGTCCTTCACTGTCAGAAGCTGACATTTCTACATAGCCATTAGATTTCTGAAGAAAGGAGTTAGACTGAGGAATCTCTTTCCAGTAGTATTTTTTCGTGCAGGACCTCCAGTTCAGACAAGCAGTTTCCAACACAGGAAAGGTACAGGACTACCAAGGACTACAGGGATCTGGGCATTCCCGCAGGTAAGTCTCTGTATGACCATTATACACCTCCATCAGCGTTGTGCACACAGTCAGCTAATTGACAGGTAGGAGGAAGAAGAAGAAAAAAGAAAAAAGCCTCATTACAGCAATTAGTGAAAAACTGTCTCTGATATTATCTGAACATTTCAACTAAAATGAGCATTTACCTTCTTTAGTCAACATGTAAGTATGAATTGCTCTGTCCTCAGTCAAGAAAGCTGCTTCCACTAATCCTTACCATTCAAAAACTCTTCTCACTCCTTTCAGTCTTTTTTTTTTCTAAACACCAAAACTTCAAGTTCAGGCTAAAACATCTTCTGTTGCAAGAAGAATGTGCCTGTAGTATGCCTAAACCATGAGGTATATGAACTTGTTTCACACTAATTACAAAGGCATATATCACAGGTTAATTCAGGCTAGAAGGGTCCTCAGATGTCTGTAGAGTGACTGCTGCCTCAAACCAGGGCCAGCTGTGAGGAAAGGGCTAAGGCTGCTCAGAGTTTTAAACCTGTAGAGTCCTTGGAAAATACCTATTCCAGCAATTACATTTTGCTTTTACAAAGCAATTAGTTTTGGTTTTATGTCCGTGTATTCACCTAAAAATGCTCTGAAGGTACCACTGTGACCTTCTCCTTAGATCTACAGTAGTAAGTGGTCTGCCCCCCACCTCTAAACTTTCTGCAAAAATAGAAGCATTACCTTATTGAGGACAGGCTTTGTGGAGAGAACATCATAAATTGCTGGTAAGGTGAGATTCTGAAAGAAAATAATACAGTGATGTTAAGGGATGTTAACCTGTTTGTGCAAATGCTAAGAACTGTAGCTTTTTTACAGCTCAATTAGACAGTAAGATACAGCTTTAAGAACACCTGATTGCTAGCCATATATCTTGAGATCAGAAGAATGTGGGCTGCAAAAATATGAGCAGACCACATTTCAGCAGAGCATGGGACACTTGAGTGCTTGACAAGTGTGTGTTTGAATTTCATTGGTGTAAAACAGCCCAGGAAACACGGAAAGTCTTTCTCAAAGTATCTCCAGGTTTATTGCCCTGCATAAGCAGCTGCTGAAAACGCCTGCAGGAAACCTGCCTAGATGAAGATAAAGCTCAAAACTAAAAAAAAAATAAAATTAAAATGCATGGAAAGAGCCAGGCAGTACTTTACTACCCAGAAGAAGAGACAAGTTGCCACAAAACCGCTAGCCACTTCTGTCATTACAGCTGTGCTTGAAAATAACCTGGATGCTCCTGGCGGTGTCAGGTCAGTACTGTTACTTGGGAGTTTCAAAACAGCAGGGTATGAGGTATTTGAAGGATGTTTACCTCTTGTGTTGTCTGGTTCAGGCATTTCATTGCAGGTCCTCTACGATTATCCAGTATTAGTGGAGGCTTCCAGCGATCATAGTTTGTTTCTAACACATACCACGTGCCTTTCTTGATATCAAGGCTGGAAAAGAGGTCTTTGTTTGTGTGTTGTTTCTCTAAGTATATAGTAAGTACATATACAGTATAAACTACATACAGACAGAATTATTTTTTCAGGCTTGCTGTCATATTTTTAAATGACAGGAGAGAAGTGAGTTCTTGTACAACAGAAGTCACAAGAAACAGAGGGCACAATTATTGTCCTCTTCTGAGAACCTGTCCTCTTCTTGAAGGCTGAGTCAGGTGTCAGGTCAAGTATACTCACTCCCAGATATCCAGAGCAGCTGTCCTGGAACGAGTTATCACACACCCTTCTCCAGAATTTTTTCCACCCAGTATAAAGTAAGCTGGAGCCAGCAGTCTTGTTTTTGCCAGTCTGTCTTTTGCATCTTGGTAACTGCAGGTAAAGTAGTGTTGAACTATTAAACACTATAAATGGTTCAAGTACTAAAGAACAAGTTTTACAGATCCAGGAAAAGTCTGGGTAGATACACCTTTTGTCCCCTTTCATGGACATATGACAAGACAGGATCACAATGAAGGAACCCATCTAAGCAAAGGTTCTCTATTCATTTCGTACCTACAGTATGGTTGTTGAGAGTGCTCTTTGTACATTTTCTACACTTGAAACAGGAATAAAATTATGACATACTGTGTCATATTTCAGTGAATTAATTTATTGCATGACAGCTTTGTTTGTTTACTTCCTATAATATACTACTACCTGTTAGGTGTGTTCAGAGTCAGAATGCTGTTACGCATTTAGATACCAACAGGTTCATTATAAAAAAAAAAAATCTGAGAAAACAATTTGAGGAGTTTTAAGGGATCATGTGCAATGCCTCCCTTACTTGAGTACCACCAAAACTAGAACTATTTAATGTTAAGGCCACCAGGAAGGAATCTGTATCACTGGATACTAAGCATATACCTATAGTATTCATGCTAGTTGAAAGCAAAGCAGATTAAAGCAGCAGAACATTTAGAGGGAGGGGGAATACCTTGTAGCATTCTCTAATACTGTCCTTGTAAGAAAGCCCATCCACATACCATCTCTTCTACCAAGAAACCACTCGAAGATTCCTGCAAAATACCACTGGTTACAATAATTTGTTGCCAGAAGTTTCACTCATGCTATTCTAGCTTTCACAGCCTTTAAAATGAGCTGTGTTTCGTCTTACTCATCTGGACTCTTTTCACCATTTGTGTACCTGTTTATTAAGGTAACTGGTATGCCCAAGGTCTGGAAAACTTGTACAGAAATGAATGAGAGAAATGAGCATTACTCACCCACATAACCACCGTCAAGACTGAAACGCTCATTCATTGTCAGAGTGAACAAGTCCTGAAAAGCATGAAACAAGCCAACCTTCATCCACTGCCAGCCCACTAATAACAGTTATAAACAAGAAGCAGCATTGCAATGTAGATGTCAATTGAGCTTCTTGTTTCTTATACTTTTCCTCTTTCTCTAACAGACTGCAAGAGCAAGTCCCTGTATAGAAGAATCTAATCTACCACTTCTTGAATAAGCAGAACTGATAATTCATAGCTTTCTGACCTGGAAGAGCAATCAGCAAAGCATGTTTTATGCTAAGCAAGTCAAGCCTGTGGCTATTTTTTCTCTTGGTCTGTGCTGCATCACTGAATTACCAGTTTTCCTTTGCCTGCTGTATGTCACCTTCTTCTCAGACCTCTGAGTAATACTCTAGTTTGAAGGCAGATTTTTAAGTCCCAGCACCAAGTACACCCTGATATGTCACTGCTACCCACATGGACATGCAGCTGCACGATTCAAACCATGCTACTTGCAACATGAAATTCAAACTCAAATCCCAGTCTTCTCCAACTAGTGTTTCTTTCAGAGAAAAGTGGAATTCAGTTACACTAGATCATTTTCAGAATGGACTCTTCCCAATTTATTTGAGCAGAAGACAAAAATAAATGGATACAATGCACAGATTTATGCCAGAAATGCTATACCATGAGAAGGGCGACCTATAGTAGAGGATAAAGGAAGAGCATGTAGAAAAGGAGAAGCTGAGACAAGCTGAAGACTGTGGTATAGCTCTGTACTGCTGGATTTTAAGATGTAGATAAACCCCAGATTTAAACCCCAGATTTCAGGTGCCTATTAAACAAAAATCCAATTAAAAAAAATCTTAAAATGTAGGACTCCCTTTTCTAAGAAGGACTGAAGAAAGAATTAAAATAGCACAAGTCTGCTGTTTCACCTCTGGGATCACAGCAGTATCTACTGGCTAGCAAGAAACTCTAACCACTTGAGCACTTGTATTCACTGTATTGTGAATTGTCTGTACTCAGAATTCAATGCTGGTTTTAAGAATTGTCCAAACAGAAATTTTTCATTTGAGCAATCCCCTTTCACAAGGAAGGATGCAGCATGGTTTTCTTTTCCTTCAAGTAGCTATGCTGTGTACCAGAACAACCAAGAGATTATTTATTAAAAGCATCCCAAGGCAGAGGACAAAAGTAGAAAAAAATGTATCTTAAAGGAAAGTCTGAAGCATTATAAAAAAATTGACAAACCCCTTCCCCATACTTACTGGTTTGACTCCAGACACCATGCCTATGTATCCTGCAAAATTCGTAGACCTGAATACAGTTTTGTTGTTTCTCTGAAAGTCCAAGAGTACCACTAAAGGCTTCAGTTCCCGAGTTACAGTCCAGGAATTATTTTTAACATCCCACCTGCAGAAGATGGTACAGCATTTGAAACTTCCCTCCCTTTGTAGCTTTTAAAGCTTCCCTTCACAGAACACACACATCCTGTGTGTGATGCCTGTCCTCTGATACCTGAACAGCGCCAGCAAGGGACAAATAGGAAGACTAAATGCACAGAAAGGCAGTGAAAAGAACTAAGTTTTGGTTGAACCAAGAGCATATACACTGCTCAGGATTAAACAGCACCACCATGAGAGCTGGTTTGTTTTGAACACACACAACTTCATTCTGTTCCTCCTGACAAAGGAGCTACAGGTAATGCCTGTGACGCCAAACCTTGAGTTCTTACTTTTCATAAGCAGAAATCAAACCACATACTACTGGACTTGCTCTACATAAAGGGAAGTCCCAATTCCAGTTTGTAAAATAAGCCAGACCAGTTTGTAGGCAAGAGGGTGACAAAGAGCATTTAGCAGACCATCAAATTCTCTGGAAACAATCCAGGCTCTGCGAACAGCTTTGAAAGTTCCCTTAATGTTCAGGGAGTGTGTTCACAGTATTTCTGACAAGTGAGAGAAGTTCAACACAAGCCAAACCAAGGGACAGGTGGAGTCACAGCTAACAACATCTGAGTTTTTGATAGGCAGGTAAGAATTTTACTGAAGATGAACATTTAAATTCCAAGTGGGCATTATCAGGATGAACAATGTTACAAAATATACTGGGATAATAAAAGCTGAACGACCTGATCACAGGGTATGAAATGAGAACTAGAAGAGTTGTCCAGTGCTGGGTAACAAACTACAGACTTTGCATCCAAATGAAAGTCAATGTCAGATCAGGGGAATACAAATTGCTGACTTTCTGCCTGGAAATGATGAATGATGGGAAGTGCCAGCAGAGTATACTACAGTAAGTAGGAGAATAATTTTGGGGAAAAAAAATCATAAAAAAGTCAAGCCCCAATGCAATCCCCATTTCACTGCACACACTAAAATTGATGCTTCATCCCATCATGTGAAAAACAAGATATACTGTGCCTCAGAGACAGGGTTACATGGGCCATTCTTTGGTTCGAGACAGCTTGAACTGGAGCACAGAAAAACTAAGTAACATCAAACACAACTATTCTTGATACACTTGGGCAGTTTGACATAAGAGCAGCAGAACAATCCTTTTCATTTTAGCCTTTTTTCACAACAGACAGTGCAGAATTACTTGTCACATCCAGTTCATCAGTTAAGACTCACAGAATACCATACAGAAATTTCAAGTTCAGCTAGCTCTTCATTTGGGTTTAAAAATAGTAAGAAGAGGTCACAAGTTTAGGTACTTACCCTAGAAAGAGTCCAAAATCCAAGTTTCTGGCGTGGTACAGTTTCCCTATACAACAATAAATAAATGAATAAATAAATAAAACCAGTTTTCTAAACAGACACATTTCAGCTTAGAAACCCAAGAAATGAGTTAGCAGGCAAACACCTGGAAAAGTAAGCAAGGAAAATACCATTCTCTAGTTGCACTTTTCGTAAGCAAATAACAACTGTGGCAACACCTTGAGCGTCCTCTAAAATGTGAGACATTTTTAAGCCCTCTGAGAATCCCTTAGAAACTTCCTGAGCTGGATCAGGTGCAGACAAGGGCTGCAAAACCAAGTAGGGGAATGAAAGACTCTCTTAAAAGGGACTATCCATTTTCTCTAGCACCATACATATGTGACAGCTAGAAACTAGATGCAAAATCCTGCATGGCACTGAAAAAGTTTCAGGTGTCTGGCTGGTGTTTCTTTCCCCTAGAAAAACAAATATCACTTATTAAATAAACCCCAACCAACCACAAAAAAAAATAATTCAACAAAAACAAACCCAAACCATCTTTGAACGTATTTTTGTCCTTTTTTTTTAACCTAAGACACCTGTGATCCCTTATTCCCTTCTCAAGGAATACCTTTTCATTATCACTGGTTCCAGTCTCTTTACTAGACCTTCTTGCCTGCAGCTGAGAAGAACTATATTTGCATAACTGAGATGGATCTCCTACATAAAAGAAAACTGTTAACACTATTCTGGGTTGCATTACCTGTTTTATCTTCTGCCACTATTGATGTACATACGGTAAAAATTTCATAAAAGATGTTAAAAATAACAATTTCCCCTGGAACAAAAAGAAAAGAAGTTCAATAGGTTGAAACTTTTGCCACAAACAGAAAAAGAATGGTTAGAAAAAAGCATACTGCAAAGTTCAGTGTTCTGTAATGTTTCTGTTTAAATCTCATTTGATCTTTGAAATGACAGATTCAATCAAGAGCTTCCTGCAAGGCAAATAGAAGGATCAGAATCCCCTGGCCTTCTACCTTAGCATACAGAAAGCTGATAGTCATTGCTACTTCCTCCTCTGGAAACTCCAAAACAAGCTATAAAATTCACTTTGAAGAAGAAAGCTGCTCTAGGTACCACCACTCCCATGTAAGAGCTGCTGACTAGCGCCAGGTGTACTGCTCCTGTATGAAGGAAGCAGTGGAAACAGATCCATGGTCCTCTGTATCAATTCTGGAAGAATTCAGTGCCTACTTCTCACCTGGAATTGCATTCTTGTGCAGGAGGTGCAGAGGGAAGGCAGAAGGACATGGCAAGGATCAGAAGAGAAAGAAAGCACAGCATGAAACTGAGCCTTGCCTTCTTTTTGTGGCAACAGCAGATGCACAGTTGAATGGGAAACCCAACAAGAATAAAGGATTCCCCCAAATTTGCTGCACAGGAGCAGAGACTTGCTCCAGCTCCCAAAACTTAGGAGCGAGAAGCTTGACAGAGAAGTCCCAGCCTGATGAAAGGTTTATTTGATTTATTCCATTCTCATCTAAAATACTGTTTTCCTGTTGTGTGAGATGAAATTATTGCTTTATCTACTTAATGAATAATTTGTTGAAGTCACAGATGACTACAACTAACTGCAGATTGGTAAACATACTAATTTTAAGCAATTCTATATTCCTAGCTTTCCACTGTGTCAATATATTGTTTAAAACTGTTACCCAAAGGAATCCCAGATGAATCTGCAATCCCTTGGAGTTCTTCATTGAAAGGATAGGGAAGTGTGGCGGTCAGATGAGCCTGAGAAGAGAAGTTTGGTATGATGCATGTTTAAGTGAATGCTATTTTGTTACTTAAAACAAATGTCTTCCCAACAGGTACACCCTTCTCACAACTACTGAGTACTGAACTTCCCTGCAGCCTGTAGAACTTGAGGATGTTTGCAGAGTCCTTGGAAGACAAGTACATACTTACGAAAAGTAAAAACTATTACTTATCAAAATACTGACGTGAGCAATGGAGATCAACACAGTATCTTAGCACCAACAGACAAAAGCTCAACTGGAATAGATGCTGATGTCAGTGTTTATGGGCACCCCTAATTTTCACACATTGATATGACAAGCTGTATATGCTGCTTTTATGTCCACCCCACTCAGGCACACAGGGCTATACTGTAAATAAAGACAGGGGAGAGATATGACCTTATGCTGTCTCTGTCTCTAATGCTATACTGCTTTCCCCTGTCCTGATTCCGTGCCAAAGCTTATTTTAATCAGAATAGATGTTTTTTAAGATGAGGTCTGGTCAAAGTTGTCCCTGTAATCACACATTTATTACAGTTTTCAAAAGCTGATTTTAGCAGCCTGGTCTAGTGGGAGGTGTCTGTGCCCATGGCAGGGGGCTTGGGACTAGATGATCTTTAAGGTCCATTCCAAACCCTTAACGTTCTAAGATTTTATGCTACTGTTTGAAGAGAGTGGAACACGGCAAAAAGAATTCCAGTGAAGAGTTCTGCTACAGTGACTAGTTGAACACGGTAAAGAGAGTTTCAGTGAAGTGTTTTGCTACAGTGATTAAGTCAGTAGCACATTTGTTTAGTATGACTAATCCAAACCTGAAGAGTTCATAGGAAAAAGAGGAGGAAGAGATGTGCATTTTTAGTTTGATGGTTTCAGAGGAACTCAGAGTAGACTGGAAGGTAAAATTTCAGAGTGACTCTTCAATATAACATTTTTGTTCTGGAAGTGGAATTAAAGACTTGTAAATCAAGAACTTCTAAAGTTCTTAATTGCCAATTTCAGTAGCATTCTAATTTTGGTAGTCAAAGCATACAGTAATAAAATAAGCTGGAAATACTTACTATTTTGTTATCCACTATGTCAACAACTTTGCCGCTGGGGAAGAAGGTATTTGCTATATCTTTAATATTCTGGACCACAGTCTTGAGCTAAAAACAACAAGGGCTTTTACTGAAAAGATGATGTTAAGCATAAGAATTCCTAGAACACTAACACAACTCCTTCACAGACTTTTAAAGAAGTATTTTGTTGAAAAAATATGTATTTAAATAAAGTGCTATATGTGGTGTTCTTGGTGAGAAAAGCATCCCCAACTCCCCAGTACAGTCACTCTTTAAGCTCTGTTAAAGTAACTTTCAAGATTAGTTCCAACATGTCCCTTTATCAGAGGAAAAAAAAATGACAGGAAAGTCATCCTCATCTTCTGCTCCTTTGGTCACATTTTAATACTCTGCACTCTTCTGTCTTTAAAAAATGTGAATTACAAGCTCTTTGCCTACGCACCAATGTTCCTGGAGACAAAAATACTTTAATAAATTTACAAGTACAAGCTTTCCATTTGCAACACGTGAATGGCCACAAATAAGACTTCCACTCCATGTGATTTAACTCCAAAGTACACAAGAGACAAAACCTTTCAGAACTGAAGGTGCAACCTGAAGCTTCCAACACCCACAGGCTTAAATGGGACTAAAAATAAGTATTAGCCTGTCTGGCCCTGAGAGTTGCAAGGTCAAAGTCAGCAGGGATATAGCAAAAAGCCCTAGCCTTGCTTCAGGAATTAAACATTACTGAATTTATTTTTCAGCAATCTTCAGAAGAACAGCTGTTTTCAGTAGTTTGAAATAGGCTCAAGTATTTTGAAGATTATTTCTGCTGTGTGAACACCAGTGCTACAACCAGCATCCCTGAAAAGGGCAGGAAGTTCTTAATTTCCCCCTTGCCACTTTGTCACCTCATGCTGGGTTTTGAGAGAAGCAGGGAGGCACAGAGAAGTGATGCTGCCTCAGCTTCAGTTTGTTGTGGTTGTTCCTTTGGTGTACTCCTCTCCCTTCATTCTGTTCTACTTCACAACTGAAGAGACTTGATAAAAGAAAGCTTGCTTTATGGCACACTGATTTTATTCCTCTACATCCCAATCATCAGTGTCTCTACACTTGATGCTGCTAGATCAAGTGTTGAACAGAAAAAAAGAAATCCAGCAAATATTTTAGTCTAGAATCATATTAAAAAAGTCAACTGAAAATATTATCCCTTTCAAATAATTTTAGCACAGGCATTCTTTTCCAAAGCTTTTCTCAAAATAAAAGGTCATGTGCTAGTTTTATACCAGCTAAGCTTCAAATTAAGCTCTGCATTTCCTACCTCTGTCTTTTTGTCATGCATCAACTTATCCCATCTTTTGCTGGGAGGTAAATCAAGATTTATGACATATGTGGGTATATTCCCTTTGAACCTGAAAGACAAATACCAGAGATCACATTTAAAGACAGCTTTGGAAAAACATTTGACAAAATAGGTGCTTCCAACCTGTAACTAGCATTTTCTAGATCTGCAACAGGAATAAGTTTCAAAAAAAAAATCTGTTCAGACTTGCAAATCACTACTTCTCTGTAATTTGCTAGACAAGTTGAATCAGATTACTTACGTTGGTCCTGAAGGAGGGTACATTTTAGTCCTGCACTCTTCTGCATACTGTAAAGACAGTGAAACATTACTATTTACCTTCTTTGTTAAAACACTATTACTCTAGCAAACATTTGAATTAAACCTTTAGGACTAGTCAGTTAATTCAATTCATGACTATTCGACAATGAAAGAAGAAAAAGACTTGGGACTTTGGAAAGGGTGCAAAGGAGAACAGAAGAGGTAGGGACAAGCAGCAACTCCCCCGTGCTGTCTGACAGACTTTCAGACAACTTGCCTCATGCAGTCCACGGCAAGCACAAGTTTATGTTAAATATACAAATCCATTTTAACTCAGTGTGATTTAACGAAGAACACTTCAAAAACATATTCTTTATCCACGTTCAGAAACCTTAAATTTCAGTATGGACCAGTTTGTTCTGTTCATCCAACTCATCATCTCATTTTATAGTGCCATTCAGAATTACGCTTAGTGTTAAGCTTCACTGTGGAGCTGGGCAGGAAAGCACACTGAACTTTGGGCTAATTACTCGGACAGTGGAATGAGTTAAATGGCAGGATTTTTGACTTTGTGTGGGAAAGTGCTGCTGAAGTGGTGCTACATATTATGAGAGGCACATTTCAGGAATATCACTAAAAACTAGTTACCTTCAATCCTGTAAGCATGGCTAGTTATAAATGAAAGCCTGAGAACTGTTTTAGGTGTACTCAAAGTGAACACAAGGGTGTTTTCCCATTGGTTAAAAAAAGCATGCATATAAATACATAAACATATGCATATACATGCCACAATGGTAACTGCACGTTTTACCCACTGAAATACAAGCAAATACCTACTAGCCACCTGCACTTGTGCTTCAAGCCCACTGAGAGCAGGCCAGATTTGGTCCCTATGCTAGCTGAGATTATCAGTAAGCTCCTTAGAGCACAATATGTCCCACTAGGAGAAAGGAAAGGTACGTGTGCTGTTCTGAGAGTCCATACAAAGGCTCCCAAAGCACAAGTGTTTGGGAGGCAGAACAGAAACAAAAATATGTAGGGATCCTTCCACCACTTCCCTTCCTCTCCACCCTTGATTTCCAATATTTATTTGGCTGTATTAATTAGATTACATTACTAGTGTGTCCTTACAATGCATTTCGGCTCCAGTGAAAATTGACACAAGATCTCTAGCAGCTACATAACTGGAACAAACAAGCTAACTCAGGTCCACCTTCTCTTTGGGCTACTCTCATTATCTGTTGTTAATACATTAATATAGAAAAAACAGTCTTACACAATGCCACGGACTTTAAACAACTGGAAAGAGCAACTCTAAATTGGGATTGATTTCTGTGTGTTATCATGTGTTTTCTCTTTGCGTTGTTTCCAGTTGCTGCGAGAAAGCATGAAATGAATTTTGGTTTTCCTACACATGAGACAAAGGTACAGGACCAGCAGCTGTGTGTTTCCCAGATTTCGGTGCAGTGCAGTTACAGCCTTTGCATGGCTGGAACACAATGGCAAGCACAAACATTTCATTTTCAAAATGAGGAAGTCAAAAACAAGGAGGATGGGAAAGGGTATCAGATGACTAATTAGGCAACAAAAGTCAGATGCTTCGTGCAAAGCCAGACAAATGCTTAACAGTATCAATGCAATTGTCTTGTGAAACTTTTCATCCTGTGATATGAAAATCAATCAGAAAAACTGACATTGCATATACATCCTACTGCAATGGATGCACAGATTTGGACCTTCAGGAAATATCTGCTCTCAAAATATGCTTCTTGACAGATAAAGGACGTAACAAAAAATGATCAGAAATAGATGAGTTCAGTTGATCTGTCAGTATAGTCCATGTGCACATAGAGGAAACAGAAGCAACCAGCAAACTGATTGTAGGGGATTTTAAGTGATGTTCTAGGTGCTAAATGTTATGCCACTCCTCATACTTTCTCCTGAGATTTTAAATTTTTATCCTCCTAGCCCTTTGCAACCTAAGCCACAAAAGAGATGAGGAAAGTGACAGTTAAAAAGGGAGAGATAACAGAGAAAATGTTCCCTCTTTACATGCAATAATTTTAGATTTCTCACCTGTCCATGTATAAAGCAAGCTAAAAAAACCTTTGATCCCCGAAACAACCTGTACATCTTCCTAAACTGCTAGCATTGATTGAGATAGCTGAAGAAAGTAAAGATTAATGGTTTCTTAAGGTAAACTATTATATCATAGCATCATAGAATATCCTGAGTTGGAAGTGACCCACGAGGACCATCAAAGTCAAAACTCTGGCCCTGCCCAGGACAGCCCCAAGAATCACACCATGTGCCTAAGAGCGTTGTCCAAACACTTCTTCAGCTCTGCCAGGCTTGGTGCTGTGACCATTTCTCTGGGAAGCCTGTTCCAATGCCCAACCACCTTTTGGGTGAAGAAACTTTTCCTACATCCAGCCTAAATCTCCCCTGACACAGCTTCATGCCGTTCCGTTGGGTCCTGTCGCTGGTCACCTGAGAGCAGAGATCAGTGCCTGCCCCTCTGCTTCCCCTTGTGAGGAAGGCATAAAATGTTACGACATCTCCCCCCTCAGTCTCCTCTTCTCCAGGCTGAACAGACCAAGTGATCTCAGCTGATCCTCATACAGCTTCCACTGTATATGTATATGTACATATACAGTAACAACTAGACAACTAGAAGTGGTTTAATTTGGGATTTTTTACACAAAGTTCTAACAAGGAACAAAAAACCTGTTACCTTTTGCAATTGGCTAAAGGCTAACCAAAACCTTTCTGACAAAGTAAAATATTTTTTAAAAAAAGAAAGACACCTAAAGAATTTTCCGGCGGCAACAGAAAAAACATCAAACACTTTTTATAACCAGAGTGAAATAAGCAGCTATAAGTTACTGCTGTGGTTGGAGAGACTCTCCTCTCTGCAGAGGCTTGATACTGGAAGAGAGACAATAAGTATTGTTCAAGATAAGCAGGAACACCTTTCCAGCATGACTGAATCACTGTCAGCTTCCAATGTGGTCCCCTAGAAAAAGTCAGCAGAACTGGCTCCAAACAGGAGGTATAACTAAAAATTTGCTTTTCAAACATGCATTGAACTGCCTAGGAGGAACACATCTATTTTTGAATGGTGGTTTAATGTTCTTTCTTAAAAAAATTAAAATCTCGTGTTATGAGTAGGCTGCATATTTTGACTATCTGACGTACTGCTGACCTTCAAATTTGGATGTATGTAATGACAGGAAAACAGATGCGTGGTAGCACAGAATCAAAATGCTATAGGAAGACAGCAGAGTGGAGGAGAAAGAACATGGTATGGGGAAAGATGGAAATAAAAACTGGAAGTAGCACAGAAGATTTATATTTTGACTGACAGTATGGAAAAAAAGTAGAGTGAAACAGAAACAAAAATAAGCAATAACAGTTATTATTCACTGCAGTAAAGAAAATCAATGCATGGTTTAATGACTGCTCAGCAAATATTTTGATACCTAGCCCCATTTCATGAATATAGAATAGACTGAATGTAGCTTGTCCAGACTAATGAATGCCAGAACTTTGTTTATTACCCTCAAAAATATTTTTGAGGTGGACCATCTCTGGCATCTTTTCTTAATATACACTGTTTCTCATCTTCATATGTAATAATAAATATAAAATTATCTCTTTGCACTACTGAATACAATTCCATAGCTTAAGGACATTGCATCCAGTATCCTTCAGTCAATCTCTTATATTCAACATCTTCTGGTCTATAAACTCTGTGGTCTAACACATTTTTCTCTGTGCTCCTGTTCCCTGACAGGACAATGCCAGTGCAGCACTATGTTGTGCTGCAGCAGTCCCAACACTGTTCGCCTTTCTGAACACAGAGGTTAAGAGCATTCTTGATGCGCTGAAAAAATGGTGAACAAGCCAATTTAAACTGCAGTTTGGACAAAAAGTTCAGTATGCTTGAGGGGGCCTAACTGAAAGCTAAAGTCTGCACTACTGAGATGTAATTCAAGGCATTTAGCTTCCATGTTCTGTGTTGATGAAAAGAACCCAACCACATGTAAGTAGGAAGAAAAGAACTGTTGTTCATTCTCCAGCAAATAATGCATTTCTCAATCTCAAACAAAAATAAAATATCCCAAACTGATATCTGGCCACACAGCAGCATGACCTGCAGCCTGGACACACAGTGGGTATTGTGCAGAGATGTACCAAATGCAATCAAATGCAAAATCAAACTCTAATGATAAGACTTTGCTGATAGCTGGCACTTTCTTCCACCATTCCACATCTGAGCATGCTTTCGGCTGAAATTCTGAAGGTGTTTTAAACTGGAGCTAGCTATGGTATTGGGAAGCTGCTCTTGGGGGTAGATTGGGACTGGGAAAAGTGATGGAAGAGAAGTCCTGTTCTGTATGGTCAGGATGTTGAGGGAATATGGGTAATCCAAATATTCACAGTCCTCTCCTGCCGTTTTCCCCTCTCCTAAAACCCACACTCATTTTCCTGCAATCAATATAACTTGCTAGGAAAAGTCTTAGAGCAAACACGAAAGAAATATAGGAAGTAGTATGTCCTCAAAATATTTAAAATTAGATTGTAAAAGAAATCAAAATCCAGAGAGATTTAAAACCTCTCCTCTTCGCAGGGGATGAGGAGATTCAGGAACTGAAGAGACGAGAGCCTGCTTTGCTGCTTTATGAATAAAAAACACAAGCACGAGCAGCTGATGGCACGTCCAGGAGATGGAAGCCAGCCTGTTCCACATACCCATCCCCTGCCTCTCGCAACTTCACAATTCCACCAAAAGTTAAATGTTTCACTTATTCAGTTAAAAAAAACACAACAAGAAACGACACCCCAAACCCATCGGCTCTGTACTTTTCTCCTAGGGAGAAACTAGAGCACACACACTCAAGCCGACCCAGAAGCGATTCCCCTTTCGGAAAACGCTGTCTTGGCGTAACCGGGCAGCACCGACACCGCGATGCACGCGGAACCGAGCCCGGCCGTGAGCAAAGGCTCG